ACTACTAAAATAATTTATCTCTAACAAAATCTTCCTAAACCTTTACCAGCCCAAGATAAAAAAGCCTCAACCACAAGTTGTCTGCATGATTGGTGGTATTAGACAAAGACAAATGTATCTTTTTCAAGCTATTATTGCAAGCAAAGAATATTTTACATAGCAAGGCATTCTGAGGAGGTTCCTCACAGCCCTACTCCCTGCACTATTATACATGCACGCACTTAGACCCTGGATTGTGTAAAGCTACAAGGCTTTCTCAAAAATGACACTGAAGTACCACTCAGGTAGATATGCTAATGGTTCAGATCTCAACAGACCATCCCACATCGAGAGAATTACAGCTTTACACTAGTGGTAACACAAGCATTATCAGAGCACACTCAGCTTGATGTCAACTACTGAGGTCAGGACAATTTGACATAAGGCAAAGAAAATCTAATTCTCTTGTCCCAATGAACACATGAAAGCATAATTCAGCTATGGATGGCAAGCTAATGATTTAGCAACCATTTTAAGAACGTAAATGTTATTACGCCCTAAGGAATGAGAGTCATTCACTAAAATTATACTTCCACATCTCCTTTTCCTTAAAAAGCTGTTCAAACACCCTTAAACTGTCTGGAAGAGAACACTCCCTGCATAGTGTTATTCTCAGCAGTTTATGTCATGTGTTCAGATATTTGGCATGTACTCACATAGGCCCTATATGCAGTCCCTGCCAAACGAACAGTGCTAGGACCACGCTAGAGACCTCTACAGTGGCTGGCCAGTCTCAAGAGACATTTGCAACTGTACCAAACACTAATTTCAGTGTTGTGAATGTACTAAATGGAGGAGCAACATAAAGAATTAAGATGTGATGCTGTAATTTTCTAAACCAATACAAACACTGCTGGCTCCCTCTGGTGCTAAATGTAATGTAGTGTTACACACTAAACCACCAGAGAATTAAGGTTATGATATAATCCAATTATTTAGTACAGTAGGTGACAGATGTTCTAGTAATAAGTGTTACAGAAGCAGATTTCCTCTTAGAGGCAATATTCTGAAGTCCTTATTCACAGTCTGTACCAACAGCTCTTATGTGGAGAAAACCTGATGCACACCTTTAAGGAGTGCCATTGTGATACAACACACAAGCCAGGTCCCTTCCTTACACCACATTTTTGCTTCCTGAAAGTATGGTCTACATCCCATTTAAGAGCAGACTTCAAAACCAACTTCAAGCTCTACTTTATTATGCTGGCAGTGATTTCTAGAGTCATTTTAATAAAACAAACTGAACTCACTTTTAAACTCACTCATTTTTGCTGTGTATATTTATACTTAAAAATACGCATTTGTTATGCCAAACAGATGAAACAAATCAAATAAATTTTAACTAACCTGTTACTAAATCAGCTGTTCAACACTGTATATAGAATAAAAGTCAAGCCACCTGTTCTATTCATAGATATAAGTGGCTGTTTGAGTTTTTAAAAGATTTTATTCATGGCTTTGAATTTCCAGTAACACACCAAAGTATCCAAGTATGATGATTTATATTGTACATATTATTCCTTGAGTTGTTTTTAATGACTATTTGAAGCTTGCTTGCAGCTGTTCCTTACTGCTAGGTTTCTGATGCAAAACAAGGAAATTTAATAATCTAATCCGGAAGGGCTGGATTTTTGTTGTCTTTTTGTCATTTTGTGGAAAGAAGGGAAGCAGGCAGCAGGTTTCTTTTTCCTCCACCTGCCCTTCCTCCACTTTTTAAAACTACAACAGTTTAAGGATACTGTCCCAGGTAGAACCTGGGATAAGTAGGAAATCCTACTCATCAACAGATTAAAGCACTGAAATGCAGAACAAGGTGTGTGGTGCAAAGTGGTGTTAATTCCCTCCACCTCCTGGATTAGCAGAACCCCAGTGCAGCTGCCAACAGAATAGGGTTTAAACCTAAAAAAAACCCCAAAATGGATAACGAACCCTGGAATTGAAAGGGAGGCTGGTGACAAGGGCAAGGAAAAGGTGCTACCGGTGTGCTACTTTTCATGCTACTTTTCATCCAGCTGTTCCTTGTACCTGTCAGCAGCAAACAGCTGGGTCCAGATCCCACGCCAGCTGCTATCCTGCTCCTCCGGCTTCCACAGAGCAGGAGGTCAACCTGTCCCACCCAACCTTCTGTCTCCCCAGAATTAAACAAGTCCCACTGGCATCCGCCAGTTACCAGTCTGTAAATTCAGCATGAGACATGATTTAAGGACACCTTTCATAAATCCATGAGAAGCACAGGTACGAAAGGCCTTCTCAGCAAACAATCATCAAAAGAATTCCTCCTCTGCCTCCTGAAAGAACAAATACTGTAATTTAACTACTAACACTTTGATTCCTAATTAGCAAACTTCCTATTTTTATTTTAGGTCACTATTCTCAGATAAATTCAAATTCTGAAAAGAAGTTTAAAGTAAGCTCAGGAAGACCAGAAGCTGGAAGACTTAGGTTTATTCCCAAACATCATCATCATCACTCTCAGTGCAAAGTCTTGTATTCCCATGTGTTAAATATGGATAACATCAAATTTTTACTTAGGGCCTTGAAGAAAGTTATTATTCACACTGAAGCCATATTAATACCTCATCTAATACAAAATACAACAATAGTGTTTTGTAATGGAGTTCTGATTCTAGGATTTTGGACAGCAGCTCTGTACCATTTCCTCAATGAGTAAAACCAAAAATATTTTTATAATAGAAAACACTACCTCTTCTTAAAAACCAAAAATCTGTTGTAAAATTTTTAAGTATGCAACATCACTTTGTACTAATCTTAAATAACACAAAGCACCTGTTTTAAACAGTCTTTTTTGATTTTAAAATAAGGCAAGTATTTTGTCCAAATGGAGGCTCAATATTCAAAGAAGAGCCTTTTCTGTGATTATTATTATACTGCATTACTATAATTTACAACATGCTTAACTGTAACACCAAGCCACTACTTAAAGAAAATGACTGTAACATCACTAAGTGGTCTTTGTTTTGCTTCGGTAGCTTCCAGAGTGTATTTTGCCTTCTCAGTGGAATGAAGAGGGATCATCTCAACCAACTTCTGGTCCAAAATCCAGAAAGAACTGTGTACACTGTGGGTAAGTCAAATGGAAGTATGACTCGTACAACACAGAAGAACCAGCACGCTGCCACTGGATATCAAGAAATAGCTTTTCTTGCTCAACATGGACACTATCAAGTAAAATTAGCAAACAACTAGGTTACAAACTGACACTTCAGAAACCACACCCTTGACTGTAAACATATTTTCAGCATGAGAAGAATAACAAGAACTGCCTTTTTAGTTGTCATTGTATGAAAAACTTTTGTGCAGAGTGCAGGGGATGACATGCTCAGCAGAGGTACTGAAGACCACCTCCAGCCACCACAGACACCATACACAGAAATGCTGCCAGCAGCCCAGGCCTCCAGGCAGGCTGCAGGTTGCACAGCATTACTACTAATGGAGCAAGCCTGAAAAAAAACACTGTAATTTAGCCAGCCAAAACTGAACTGCCTTTAAGCAGCTGATCAAAAGGCTCTGACAGAGGAGATGGAAGCAACAGTGAAGGATGTTTCCAGTTTAACCACTTATCCCCTTTGGGAGATCCCCAGCTCTGCAGAAGAACCGGCAGAGTGGGACGGCGTGCCCATGCCTTGGCCCCTGAAGTTTTTTGACTCTGTGTAGCATCTCCAGCTGCAGAGGTGGGGAAATGCACACCAGCACCTCACACATCAAAACTGGGGAAGGTGATGCCCACCTTCATCCCTGCAATGCCAGCCGAGGTACTGGCTGGATTGCTAAGGGACTCTGGCAGGATTGCTAAGGGACAAAAACACCTTAAAGCACTGCAAATTGCTTGCTCTGTTGCAACAGAGGAACGCAGAAATCTGGTACAAGCATAATTCTCCTGGTCCCAAAGTAAATTATGTCCAAGTTGTCTATCTCCACCCATTAAAAGAGAAGAACTACAAAGTCAAATATAAAAACATTCCTAATGGATGCCTGACATTCCTGTGATCCACACGTGCCTGCTTCGCTCAGTTCTCCTCATGCTGTGGAGCAAAGCATCAATAAGAGGGGACAACTATTTCAAGATCAGAACCACCACTCCTCTTTCAGCCACAAGCCAAGAGTTTATTATTAAAACACAGACTAAGCCAAATGATAATTATGTCAAATATAAAAACGCCCTTCTTCAATGTTCTATATCCAAACCATGAAGCTCCTGATGACATCTGCTAATTTAGTGTAAGCTTCACCAAGCTCAAGCCCTTTATTAAAAGCACATTTTCCTCATTAAGGCTTCATTTTATCCAAACATCAAGAACTCCACAAATTACTTCAAATAGACTAGAGACTTAACAGCAGAGAGTTGCTGCCAAGGATCATTTCTGATTGACAGCAAATTTAATAAGAAGCAAAGTATTTACTGCCATATAGCTCCTTGGATTTAATATTTTATTATCTGAACAACTTGTATGAACATTTGAATAGGATTTTAGCACTGAATGTTACTGCAATGGCTAGTTTCTCAAAGCTTTATCAGCTGGCTTCAAACACATTCCATTTCTGTACTTGTCATGGAAAAGAAAATCAGGGCAATGCAGTTTACCCATTTTCATCTTGTAAGTCACTTCCCAAGACCTATACAAGCAGAAAAATGTCTAATACAAATGCCAAGACTGGTACAAAGCTAGGGTGGAGAAGCTGACAACAGAACTATTGGTCTCATTCTCCCTTTTTGACTGCAGAGGCATTAAACCACTAAGCAGATTTTCAACTCTGTAAAAGACCTTTAGCCATCAGATAGTCTTCTCTCCCAGCAAGAATTAGCTCCCACATATTTGTGCACAAATATTTGCTGGGCTTGAAAGTAACAACTTTACTAAGTAAGTAGGTATCTGGAAAGACAGTAGATACATCATAGCTTTTACTTCATCTAATCAATGCAGCAGAAGCAGGTAACTCACCGATCGATCACAATCTCTTTCTGTCTTAGCAGCCCCTCTTTAATTTTCATTAGAGATTCCAAGTTGCTGAAGTCCTGATAGCTGGTAGCTGGATAACTCTGACGAGACGTTCCAGTTGGAACCTGCATAAAAGAAGTGCAGAATTAGCCTCCAAAACAGTAAAGGCAAATTTAAATTTACTTCATCATTTGTCTACTAAAAAATTCCTAGCTCTGAAAGTAGTTTGAAATTAAAAATGCACTTAGAGTTTATGTACATAATTAAGACAAACACCACAAAACGTTCATATCCTGTTGCTATTCTTGTAGTACTACAAATGAGGTAGCTTGATAGTTTTAGACCTGCTCATAACCGCAGATAATGGTTAACGTGCACTTACCTGACTCCCACTTGTAGATTTAAAATCACAGAATCATTAAGGTTGGAAAAGACCTCTAAAGATCATCAAGTCCAACTCAGCACCACCATGACTACCAAACCATGTCCCAAAGTGCCATGTCTACACATTTTTTGAACACCTCCAGGGATGGTGACTCCATCACTGCCCTGGGCAGCCTCTTCCAATGACTCACCACTCTTCCAATAAAGAAATCTTCCTAATATCCAATCTAAACCTCCCCTGGCACAACTTGAGCCCATTTCTTCTCATCCTATCGCTAGTTATTTGGGAGAAGAGACTGACTCTTGCCTCATTACAGCAATGAGGTCTCCCCTTAGCCTCCTCTTCTCTAGGTCTAACAGCCCCAATTCCCTCAGCTGCTCCTTATAGCATATACAGGAAAGTAATTTCTCCTAGATGCGTGTGCATTTAAAATATAGAATGTGGGAATATAATTCTGGTAAATTTCTAACTGTTTACAAGACTAAAAGTTTCAGAACAGGTTTCAGGCTTTCCATTCGGCTTCACAAAAGCCAGGCTGTGCGTCTCACAGCAAACTGTGATGACGCAGTTGAACTGACGGTGAACCAACAACATTAGGGGGCCGGTTAGCTCAGTCAGTTGAGAGTAGCGCTAACAAAGCTAAGGTCGCGGGTTCAATTCCCGTGTTGCCTGATCTAGTCGAGAGGTGGCGTCCCTGGCGGCAGGGAGGCTGGATTAAAATGATCTCTAAGGTCCCTTCCAGCTTAGGCCATTCTACGATTATGGTTTGGAAGAAAACAACTAATGGGATGTTTAATCGAGAAAAAAAATATAGTCAGAATATTAAAAGTACTACAGTTATTTGTATCAGGAATACACATATGGGAAAGTTTAAGTTAGAGCTTCTGTGATCAGACTGAGGGATGCCAGCAGCTGCTGTCATGAAGGATCATCTAAACTTCCACCGTTTCTTTTAATTGCTGACAAACAGACTTCTCTTTATTATCTTGGAGGTATCCTGGACTATGTTGCCTTTTTACATTTTTGCAAGAGAACAGAAAGAAAAGAAAATGAAAACATGACTAATTTTTTAAATTTTACTTTAAATACATTTTGGGGTATTTTTACTTGTATTGCTCTAAAATGCTTTAAATTTAATTTCAAATTACACTAAACTGTATTAAGACCAGGACATATTATCAAGATTTAAAATTGACTAAACAACTGTCAGCAGTCTGTGCTTCTGATCAAAGTTTTACTGTGAATTATAACACTGAATAGAGAGAATTTATTGCCTAAACTTCCATACCATGATGTGCTAAGCCCTGAATCAAATCCTGACAGCTGTGGTCTCTTCTGTAAATTGATAAAGTTGGGTTTTTTTCCCATTCAGTCTAATTCAGTTCAGTCTCTAGCTTGCTCATTGATAAAATCGACAGAAATGTATTTTCCCCTCTTGTAATTTAAGACTAAGAGGAGTATCTCCTCTACTAAACAAACTGGATAGCTTCAACAGTAAAATTAGTTATGAATGATTTAAAAAAAAATAAACAAATCAACAAGTCTACACATTAAACACTTCATCCCAATTTCTAACCAGACACACTGAAAACCTTGACTGTGTTCCTTACTGGACAATATCACGTACTGTATCTTTATTGCAAAGGCCACATTGACTGGATAAACAGCACTTTTTGAGGAAAAGTAAAAAGCAAAATATTAAAATCAAATTTTCTCTTAAAATGGTTCACAGATGTATGAGCATGGTTTATATTTCTTAATATTTCAATCATGATTACATCCCACAAGCAATAAAAACCACAAAAACATTTGAAATTTTTCTCAATAGTTGTGCTATAAGAAGTGCCTCATACAACTGCTTACTGAAGCATATTCTAGGTCCACAAGTTTTGTGGAAATAAAATTTTTCACATCTGCAATTTCTAGTAAGCCAGTCCATCAAAGCCATTCTTATCCAAGTAAGTTCCATTAAAGACGGCACTTGCACTCTGCTGGGAAGCACAGAACGGGCAAAGCTAAGTGCTGCTTAGATTAAGATCTACCATCCATTTGTTAACACAATCAATTTAACACTTGTCTTATTCCATTTTTCATGCACGATGACCAATATTAGCATTAAAAAAAAATCCTAAACTGGTGAGATCACCTTGGCTTTTTTTGGTTTGGGCAGCAGTCTAATAAAACTTAGGAAAGATACCAAGTCATGATTCTTCCTGTAAGTAATACATAGGCAGAGTCTTTACGGAGCAATGAATCAAAAATTAATTTTGCCTGGGTCCCTCAATCTAGACCAGCTAATTTCAAAATCATCTTTGGTGCTTACGGAATACCTTGGGATTGTCACATATTGTTCTGTGTTACAGTTATTTATGTGACCAGCTGAATTAACAAGCACCAGCTCAAAATTATTTCAGTGAGAGTCTTTTGGTCACTCGTGCCATGTCACGCAGTATAAAGTGACAACATCAGGAACTATCACTGTACTTTGTGTCATGAAATTTTTTCCTTCGCTTCTCCCCTGCCATGTCATGCAGTATAAAGCGACAACATGAGGAACTATTACTGTTCTTTGCATCACTGAATTTTTTCCTTTGCCTCTCGACTATACTGCTGAAGAATATTTTTCTCTATCCACCACAATACCATTATGTCACAGTCAAAAAAAGAGAAAGAACAGTCTCTAATGCATCTGGGATAAGATCCTTACTCTTCAGAGCCAGAAATTCCGTCTCTACCCAAAAGAAAGAACCCACAAGGATGTGAAATGATAAACAGGAAATATATGACTTTATAAATACAAATCAAGGCATTTATTGAGCGAGGTGAATTTTGTCTTTAAGACTCAACTATAAAAAGAACTCTGTAAAAGTGAACTCAACTGAAAACACTCTGGAAGCCAATAGTAGTCTATCTAAATTCTTTAAAAGTAAGCCCATTACTTAAATGTAGGACTTTTGCAAATTTAAGCGTTAACACTAAAATTAGAAAGAAATCCTTCAGCTTTGTTACAATAAGTGACTACACAAGTAAATTAAATATTAAAGTTGAAAAGCAAGGCAACGAGTTTTGCAAAGTTAAGAACAGAGTAATATTTTTTCTATTATATGCTAATGACAGTGTGGTGTCTTTTGAAAAATCTAATACATAAGGCTTCCTTATCTGCCTGACCTAGATGCTTTGGCTTTGGAATGTATTTTATCTTATGGAGTATATACGTGCTGTATACACATATGTAACAGCAAATCCAGTATTTTGTATTGTAACTGCGTGCTTGAATTTGTCACTATGAACAGATAAAAACAACAACAAATACTTCTATTTCTGTTACCATGTTTCAGCCAAAGAGAAAGATTATGCTATAAATACTTCCCAGCACTTCCCAGAATAACAAAAACCACTTCACTCATTTATAAGCACATGGTGTTGACTACTCCAAACAGCTTTTCTAGCTACTTTGAATGGTGTGGCAGCACACAGGTAGTTCACTTATATTCGAGTATTTTGCCTCCTAAGGACATCAAACCAAACAATGAGAGCACTATACACTTTTAGGACTCATACACAACTCCAAATCTTCAACTTGAATCCTACACAACTACAAAATAAAATACCAGCTCAAAACACATAGCATTCTTTCCCATCTGCCCAAGAAAATACAATTATTTTTGTTGCCTGGCACCTCTTCCGAAAGTATCCCCCTTGGACTTAGAACATCTGTTCAGTTAAAACACTATCCTTTGCACAGCAGCATCCAAAAGGTCCTCACTGGCTTGTTTTTTGACAAGGGTTTGGTTTTGACTTTCATGACCTGGCAAGCCTTCAAGGCGCTGCTGAGGCACAGTTAGCTGCTGGGAAAATAAATAAATAAATAAATAAATTTGTGTTGTGCTAGCCCATATGCAAATATTTATTGCTGGAACATACATTGTCAACTGATTCCATCATGTTTCCTAACAGTCTGAAAATAATTTTTCTCTGGACTAGAGGTTAATATTTGCATAAGTTAGGCAAATAATGGTTGGGATTTTAATTATCATAATTAAAATTATCTTATCCAGGCATGCTTGTAGCTTTTGCCTGAAGCAGCTCAGTATGACCATACAGCGTAGAACAGCATCCCGTATAACATGTTGTACCGCAAAGCGAAGGTGGAGTCCAACAGCATCAAAATAACAGCTAATCTCAAAAAAAGCGCAATGAATTTTAAAGGTTTGCTGTTTGTGGGTTTGTTTTGTTGAATGTTGCAGTTTAAATAACTTGGCCCTGTCTACACAACAACTGTAAAGCTTTCACAGCCCATTACTAAACGCTAGCAGAGGGCCAAAAGTGATGGTAACTGAACGATCCCTTTTGGGTAACTGCTTGCACTGCCTTACGCTGCCATGACTCCCACTCTGTAGGTATCATTCCTCTCTCACAGCATTTTCCAAGCACTCACTACTCCAGAGAGAGAGAATTTCTTGCATCCCCAGTTAATCCAAGGCAAAGCATAGGCACAACCAACGTCAACAGGAGCATGAGCAGTTTTTTTTGTTCAACTGACAGCGGAGGAAACAAATATACTCGATTATCTATAATCTAATATGTAATTATATTATATACTGACTATAATTTATCATAATACAAATCTCCCCACAGGCTTTGCCTCAGGGACACAGCACCTGCCCTACACCACCTCACTGGGCAGTGAGGGAGAAAGAAGCCAAACAGACCATTATCACAGAGCCAACTCTTGCTCTT